TGTCTTATCAAACATTTCTAATCCCCTGGTAAGCTAAAGTTGAGCTGTTCATCTTGGGCGCACCGATAGACATTTGGTTTTATGTTTAGCTTGTCATGCCAACAATAGACGCTAGCACCCTTCATCCTAACAGAATTGATATTATGTATTGCGCTCTTTTCCAGAATGGCAGCGTGCACGCTCATGCACACGGCCTCAGTGCCCACCGGTCTCAACGGCGTCCCGCTTGCTCCATGCCCTGTACTATAGCCACAGGTTCCTGTAAGGATGACGGAGCGATTGGCTTTGCTCCTATCCTGCTGGCTGATGGTTATCGTGGGATGCCTACGTACGACTGCCAGCGCCGAGCGCAGTCTTCTCCAGGCTTACCTCGAGACATTTCCGCCTTACGGTAGGTCGCATCGCCCCGCTTGGATAAAATCATGGATTTTGCGTTTCCAAGGCATTGAAAAGGAACGCTGGGCTCCATACATGGGGCTGGGCATGTATGTACTTCATGCGTTGAAGTCCACACAAACGACGTGTTTAGTCGCTCGATTCATGTTGCTGCTGCTGTTGCTGTGCACAGGCTGCAACCGCGACCCGCAGCAGTCCCGCTTCCGCCTCGACCCGGTCTACACCGTCAGCGGCAACCGCGTGTGCATGACTGCCCGCGTGGTGGACTGCGCCAAGCCGGGTTCGGACTGCTGTGACCCCAAGATTGACTTTTACAAGATCGAGCTGGACGTGAACAAGCAGTGCAAAGGCGCCGTGACGGGGTTCACGGTCAATGGAAAACCGGCCCTGGCACCCACATTCGACCCCTACGCCACCAACGATACAAAGGCAGTAATCAAGCTTACGGTGAGAGTAACACCTGAAGACCTTTTTGTTGAACACAAGCACAACAATGCGTTCCTTGCTTGCCTCCCTGAAACATAAACCTGATGCTTGGGAGTTGGGAATGCTAATGTTCTCCTGGTCGTCCCTTCCGTCGCTCCCTCCTCAGGGCCTGAATCTTGACCTGACGACTGCGGACGGCGCTGTGGTGTGCATGACGCTGGGCGGCTCGTGTCCCTCCAT